AAGAAGTCTTGGCTGGAGATTACGTTGATACGCTGTATTTCTTAGATGGGAAGCCTATTGAGGGGGAAGTAAATTCAGCTGAAGCGAAGTTAGACATCACAACTTTGTGGCATAGCCGATTGGGACACATGAGTGTTAAAGGAATGAAGCAGCTGGTGAAATCAGGATTTCTGAAAGGAGTAGAAATTGTCGATAAACAGAGCTGTGAACATTGTGTTCTTGGAAAGTTTCACAGGTTATCTTTCAAGGCTGGAAAACATAACTCAGAGCAACAATTAGCTTATGTGCACTCTGACTTATGGGGTTCTCCTAATGTCACACCGAGTTTATCTAAGAATCAGTATTATATCTCGTTTGTGGATGATTTCTCAAGGAAGGTCTGGGTTTATTTTCTGAAGACTAAAGATGAGGCTTTCTCTAAGTTTGTTGAGTGGCTGGCTCTGGTGGAGAATCAAAGCGGTAAAACCCTAAAGGCGCTAAGGACAGATAATGGTCTAGAATATTGCAATAAAGTGTTTGATGATTTTTGTAAGAGCAAGGGTATTCACAGATCGAGGGTATTGACTATAATGAAGTGTTCTCTCCTGTGGTTAAACATGTGACCATAAGGCTGTTGTTATCACTAGTGGTTAATCAAGACATGGAGTTAGAACAACTAGATGTGAAAACGGCGTTTCTTCATGGTAATCTAGAGGAAAGAATATTAATGGAGCAACCTGATGGTTATAGGCAAGGAAACAAGGTATGTCTATTGAAACGGTCTCTATATGGACTTAAACAATCTCCTCGTCAGTGGAACAAGAGGTTCGACGAGTTTATGAAGGTACAAGGTTTTCAAAGAAGTCGGTATGATTCATGTGCCTATTTTAGGTCATACGCAGAAGGGAAACTAGTCTATCTATTACTCTATGTAGATGATATGCTAGTTGCAGCTAAAGACCTACGGGAAATTCAGAAGCTGAAGACGTTACTTAATACCGAGTTCGAAATGAAGGATTTGGGGTCGGCTAAAAGGATTCTTGGTATGGATATCTATCGTGACAGAGGTAAAGGGGTTCTTACTTTATCTCAAGGAACGTATCTCGGAAAAGTTCTAAGAAATTTCATGATGGAGGATTCTAAACCGGTATCTACTCCTATGGGATGTCAGTTCAAGTTGTCTAGTACTAAGGTGGAGCTACGTTCTGAAGCTAGTCGATTAATGGAGAGTGTACCTTATTCAAATGCTGTTGGAAGCTTGATGTACGCGATGATTGGGAGTCGTCCTGACATCGCTTATGCTGTTGGACTGGTGAGTCGCTTCATGAGTGCTCCTGACACAGAACATTGGAATGCAGTTAAGTGGTTAATGCGATATATAAGAGGAACCACAGATATGAAGCTAACGTTCAAGAAGGAAAACAAATTTGAAGTAAAGGGGTTTTGTGACAGCGATTACGCTACTGACCTTGATCGAAGAAGATCTATTACTGGATATGTTTTTCAAGTTGGAGGTAATACGGTAAGCTGGCGCTCTGGACTTCAACACATCGTGGCTCTGTCGACTACAGAAGCAGAATACATGGCGTTAGTAGAAGCTACCAAAGAAGCTTTGTGGTTAAAGGGCATTACCGCTGAATTGGGATTTGAGCAGTCGCATGCAGAGATCTTCAGTGACTCTCAAAGTGCTCTGTGTTTAGCACGGAACAGTGTCTTCCACGAGAGGACGAAACACATCGATGTTCGTCTTCACTTCATCAGAGATGTAGTAGCGGATGGTTCCGTGGTGGTTACTAAGATTGGTACTTTGGAGAATCCAGCCGACATTCTCACAAAGAGTGTACCAGTGAAGAAGTTTGAGATTGGGAGGAGTCGTCTAAGGGTTCTAGACGATTCAAGCTAGATCAAAGTTGTGATTTAGGGTTCTCTCTTCAGACAAGGTAAATTGTCGGTGATTTCGAGAGAGAGAAGGAAAAAGGGGATCTGGAAAGTTTATTCTGGGTTTGGTCGGAAGTGTAAACCAAGGTGGAGATTTGTTGGTTTTGTGGCTTACACTTTCCGGGTTTACATTTGGGTCTGATAATGAAAGGTTTGGGCTGAGTCAGGTTTATGAGGAAGCCCAATAAGAATGTTCATTATCGGTTGAGGCCCTGAGTAGTTTATACTCTGCGTTTTGAAGATGCTCACTTGAGTGAAAGAGAGCAAGTTGCAGAGGCCGTTAGAAGATTCGCTGAGCTGGAGCTTCGAGGAATCTGTGAATCAAGACGTGATTCAGTTCTACGGTGCAGAGTATATATATATGAGTCACGGAAAGGGAGAAAGGTGAACGATACCTTGAGGAATTAGGAGATTGAGAGGGTGAGAGAAACATGGGATATTGGGTGTGTGATCATCGTTTATCTCTGGTATTCTTCTTCTGGTTATCTTCTTGTATTCCTTGGTGAGAGACGTGAGCTAACAAGAGAGGTGTGAGCTTGGTGAGCGTTTCTGTTTTGGTATCAAGTTTGTACACTTTGATCCGTGATCTCTGAGACGTACCTTGTGGCTTGTTAACGCCCTTGGGAACTCATATTCTCTTGTGTCTCTGTTTATTCACTGCAACAACAAACAAACTAAAAGGATCAAATATAATCGCAGAATATGACTTAGGTAACTTGAATTGCAAGGCTTAAAATCACTACACTATCCGTAAACTGCATTTCTTTTCTAGAATTAGTGTAGACCTCTCCATGAACCTAAAATACCATAGGTTAATAAAAAAAAAGATATGGCGCTCGTAGATGACACTCCCGCGAAAAATGATTATAATATTCTGTTACTACTTAATAGTGGGTCAAGATATTAAAACTCTTCTTAACATATAGACAAACTTATTAATATGCTAGGAGACCAATTAAGATTTTAATATGATTTCAGTTACTAGCTACTTTCCATATTGTATTTTCACACTAAGAATTGTATGATAAACTTATTGTATATTATTTGAAAAATGAGAAAATGTAGCATTTTATTATTTAGTTAACATCAGTTTATGATTAAATGAGCTTTTAGCATTCAAGTCCAACAAAATAAAAAGAACAAAAAGTGAATCTCTTTAAATACTCGTAGAGCAATATAATAAGTTATAGCTAATGGTTCATCCTCCAGTAATATAATAAGTTTTAGCTAACTGACTTTGGATGTTACTTTCTTTCTATTCCTTTTCACTTAGTTATTTTCCATGTTCTAAGATGTCTAGATTTATGGTTTATGATGGTTTGTGGTCGTTTTAATTGTATTTTAGCTATATGTGTTATTTTGCTATAAGTTTTAGCTAACTTACTTTGGATGTTACTTTCTTTCTATTCCTTTTCACTTAGTTATTTTCCATGTTCTAAGATGTCTAGATTTATGGTTTATGATGGTTTGTGGTCGTTTTAATTGTATTTTAGCTATATGTGTTATTTTGCTTATTCTTAGGATACATTATTTTTTCTACCGGCTGGTGTCTCCAGAAAATGATCATTCTTTCGTTAGCGTTTGGTTTTAGAAGTTTGCCAAACTAGCCCACTTCGTTTTAGACTATCTGTAATCTTGTTTTTTCTTTCAATTTTCAGTATAATTCTTCAGTGAAAACAAAACAGATGGTGAATCTTAAGTTTCAAAAATGGAAGCCACATTGATACATGTTTTTATGTATTTAATTGTTTATGTAAAGAAATGACCAACCACTACCAGACAATTTGGTTCGAGACCAGCGCTTCATAGTTCACACCACCTACTGGCCACTTCCAAAAGCCAAGTTCTTCAATGGCTTCAATCATAATCTGCCAAAAAAAGTTACACAACAATAATGCAAACATATAACAAGATATTAGTTGTCAAAAAAATAACTAGATGATATATATGAAACTATTCAACATATACCTCTGTTTGGACTTGCTGCGTGAGCTTTTTACTACAAATGGAATTTAAATAAACAAGAGTCAACTGTTTACAAAAATAAATATAAACAAGAGTGGACCAATCAGTTAAAACAAAGGTAGCTTCGCATTTTCTACTTCACATATTGGTGTCAAATCTGATGCTTTTAGGGGGACAATTCATCATTCAAGGAAAAACAGAGCAGTAATATCTTCCATGTAAACTTGTTAAGATCATACGAAAAACTTAAACAGTGATGATAGTCTAGTAGTGTTTGAGAGATAAATTCAATATAGCAAATTCTGGTTCAAACTCCGCTGGCTACACGGGTGAGAGTTATTGTTTTCGATCCATTTGAATCTTCGGGAGATAGTCTATCCGTGGACTATACTCCACCCGAAAATTAGGTATGTATCTTTAATAGAGCTTAGATTTATTTTTTTTTACTTTCAGAAAAATAATTATACGAAAAACGGACATGCACAGTTTAAATATGTAAATATAAATCTTTTGTTTTGATATATTTTCTGTATCGCACATGTGGTCAACTGTTAGGATTTGGAAAATAAATACTTAGGAGTTTCATATCTCTGGAACAACATTCAATTTAATTTACTATCAATTATGTTTAGTTAAAAATATTTAAAATCAGAAAATATATATTACTAAAATGTACATCACTTCAAAATTAGCAAAGTAATAATCATTTATTCAACAAAAAAATTATATTAAACATTACTTAAAAAAGTATTGAGAACACTTGGAGACAAAAAAGGAAATATTGAAAACGTTTGAAATGGTATGATTATTGAATGATATAGGTAACGAAAAAACAAAATAAAATGAATAGACTATCTCTTATTTCAAACTTAACTTCAAATAAAAATAATTGTATTTTTATAATAGAAAATACAAAATTAAAATGAAGTGATTTTCATGTAATTAATGGAAAAATTGAGTGAAACTTTTTTTCTTTCTTGATTTTACTTCTACTGGTCTACTCAACCAAGTAGTAAAACACTCCAAGTCTTTGTCGACATCTCTCATATAAAACAAGAACTTTTTTATAGGAGAAAAGGAAGAAAAAGATATATATATGATTGAAAAATGAATAAAATAATGATATTATTACACAAGCACCCTCTTAAATTATTTTACTTCATATTCTCTTTCTTTTATCATACAAAGAACTCCACGAAATCTCACATCTTCTCTCCTATCCTTTTCAAGAACCTCTCTCTTCATCTCACTTATTTGATCGATAGATGAAGATCAGGTGCGACGTCTGCGATAAAGAAGAAGCATCGGTGTTTTGCACCGCCGACGAAGCATCTTTATGCGGCGGATGCGACCACCAAGTCCACCACGCTAACAAACTCGCCTCCAAACACCTCCGTTTCTCTCTCCTCTACCCTTCTTCCTCCAACAACTCCTCTCCTATCTGCGACATCTGTCAGGTCTCTTTCAACTTCTTGTCTAAGATTTAAAGACATTTGTTTTGTCTAACGATCAAAATAATCTGAAGTCATTTTTTTGTAAATTGTAGGAGAAAAAAGCTTTGTTGTTTTGTCAGCAAGATAGGGCTATCTTATGCAAAGATTGTGACACATCGATACACTCAGCTAACGAGCACAAGAAGAAGCACGATAGGTTTCTTCTCACTGGGGTTAAGCTCTCTGCTATTTCCTCTCTTTACAAACCAACTTCTGAATCTTCTTCTTCTAGTAGTCAAGACTGCTCAGTCCCTTCCAAGAAACCTCTCTCACCTCCTCAGAGCAACAAGATCGGTGGTGATGCAGGGATGAATCAGTGGGGATCCACAAGCACTATTTCAGAGTACTTGATCGATACGTTACCTGGTTGGCACGTTGAGGACTTCCTTGACTCCTCACTTCCTCCTTTTGGTTTCTCTAAGGTTTGTTTGTTCTTCTGTTTAATCAAGAAAGATCAATTTAGGTTAATCATGATTTAATGTTTATTAGTGACTTTTATTTACTCTGTTTAATATCATATCAGATCTAGTTGAGATATAAATAGTAACAAACTTTATAGATGTGGATAGATTTTTTCTACTTTTGTATATATTCTGAAAAAGTTTTTTTTTTCCTTTTCCGGTGGATTTTCTTTTGTGATTACAGAGTGGTGATGATGATGGAGTATTACCATATATAGAAGCAAAAGATGACAGCACTAAGAGAAACAACTATAGTACAGTGTCACTTCCATCTGAGAATTTGGGGATTTGGGTCCCTCAGATTCCACAAACTCTTCCTTCTTCATACACAAATCAGTACTTTTCTCAGGAAAATAACAATAACAATGCTCAGTTTGGGATGTACAACAACAAAGAAACACCATCAGAAGTGAAGACTTATGCTCCAATACAAAACATGAAACAACAAGGACAGAACAAGAGATGGTATGATGATGGTGGCTTCACTGTCCCACAGATTACTACTACTTTTACTCATCCTCCTTCTCTTCATCATTCTAATAAAAAGTCCAGATCTTTTTGGTAATCTATATGTTTTGTTTGATTGTTGCTCTTTCGATCTTCTTGATTTCTTTAAACTTTGATCTTGATAGAATTAAGGGTTTTTTGTCCTGTCTTTGTAGATTTAAATAAAGTGTGATAGAGATTGCTGTTTAATCTTTGTAATAATCCTATTTGCACTTCTGGTTTATGCAAATGTTCTTTCATGAAAAAGGTCCCATATGACTTATTGCTAACTAGTGCCTAGTGGTGTATTTTTGTATGCGACGAAGAGTCATTTTCATATTCTGCCTCCTCAGTTCCCATGTGGGGAAAGGATTTTTCTTGGATTTGGTTGGTATTTTTTTAATATTTATTATTAAGAAATAAAGATAAGAAAAGAGCATATAATATAGACAAATTCACCATAACGTACCCATCACCATCGGCATATGTTTGTGTCTGATTGAATATGCGTCCAAATCTTTGATAACTAATGACTCGTCATTATGGCAGCCAAACTATGCGAATAAAGTACCGACACGCCATTAACTCGTTTTCACAAACTAAATTGCAAAAATCCAAAAAGTAACAAGGGAGCATCACGTCCTCATTAAGTTGAGTTGGAATGAAACTGATCACGACCACGCCCATTCAATGACAATCATGTTCCATTCACGGTTGGAACTTAGAAGGCAACTAATTAATAAGGGAGATTTTTAAATTGCTCAAACGTGGTTTGAGAAGGGAGTATTGTCGTATGCATGTGGCCACGGGAGATACAGTTTCGCCTCGAGAAGCGTCTTTGAGAGTGGTTGACGTCGTCTAATTAATTAATAGCTCGTTTTATGATTTTATTTGTTCTACTTCTTTCTGTTAATGACTATGGTTGATGGTTCTTTACTTTTCGAATACTTTTTTTACGCTTATACATTTGGATGTTTTCTTAGCAACCATTGTGATCAATGGTCATGATATATCGAAATAATGGTCATGATATATAGAAATGTTGGTTAAGCAACAATGAGATATGTCTCGTCAAAAATAACCAACACATGATGAGTGCATTGCCCATTGGATTAGTCATTATGGTGCTCTATAGGCTATAGACGTTGATTTCTGTTTGACACATTTTTAACCTTAGGGCATTTCCAACAATGACACTAAATTTGTTGTTAAAATTACACTAAATTTAGTATTTTAGTGTCATATTTTTTAGTCATCTCCAAAATAATAATAAAACTTATAACAAAAGGAATATTATATATTATATATTTGGTGTTTTTAATTTTGTATTTTTTTGTAATTGACAAATAATTATTTTAGTATATCTATATATATATATATATTCAAATCAGGACTTTGTATTGGTGAATCTATCTCTCTATTTATACAATTATTTGAGAAGTGATTTTGCTGATTTGTTATATTTTCTATAATTTTAGATCATTTTATTTGTTTGTCATATTCATTTTTTTGACTGTTGAGTCATCAATTTCAATTTAGACTATTATTTAAAACTTTATTGAATAAGTATAAATGATTATGATAGAATATGAAAAAATTATGATAGAATTTTAAATATTTTGCTCCACTCAATATTTAAAATCATATTTGTTATATGATAAATAACTTAAGATAAATCAATCCATTTGTAAAAGAAAAATAATTTGTGAAAACTGTATTGAAATACTATATACCATGTGTTCATAATTTAATTATTGTTTTTCAGTTTTTTCTCAAAGAAAAAATTAGTGAATTAGACGTCACTTTATTGATTAAAACTTTAAGATCATCATAATTCTCAAGTAGACAGTATGTCTTTTCATTTTCTGATGATATTATACTTTTGTTCCTATTATTATTAGTTTTAAATAGGAACAAAAGTATGATATCATCAGAAAATGAAAAGAAATATTGTCTTTCAGATATAATGATATATACAGAAGCTAAGGATATAATTTTAACGTTAAATGGTAAACATGTGTTTGTTTTATTATATGTATTAACATATAATTCATAAAATATCGATAAGATAAGAGTGAAAATGAATTTTTTTTTAGAAACACAGCGGTATGTTTGTTTTAGGAAAATGAAATAATAAAAGTTCTTTCGAACTCCTGATAGGAAAAGGTCAATAAAATTGTGTGTATATATATGACGTTTTCTCAAAACAAACCTGTAACATCTCGTATTTGTGCATCTATACCTAACCTACTTGTTGGTAAGAATGGGAACTCCATTGTTTATAACGAACAAGAAGGCAATAACTAATGACATGGGGATGAATAAATGGAGTGGAAAGCAAAACTCTCTCTGAATATTGTTTACCTACTTATGTACAAATTTTGTCTTTAAATCATCTTTTGGACTAAACTGATACACAGTTTTTTATTGACGTGAGCATGTAAAGATCACAAGTTCTTCTCCGTTGATTTGAAGAAGTTTTTGTCATTTTCAATACTTATGATATAGAAAAAAGGAAGAAGAATATTCCTCGTTTGACAATAAAAGATAGATCAGGTCAAATGCACCACATATGAGGTGACAAATCCATAGTATTCTTTGTTTTGGAATTTTCCCTTTTGTTTCATTTGCTTTCTTTTTCGGTTTCCTATTTCATTGGTTTTTTCCATACACAAAGGCAAAGAGATATGGGGTGGTCTGAAACCGGAGAGATGCTCATGCTGATATCACTTGCTAGCCTAGCTAGCCCTGGCCAATTCCCCAATGATTCAACCAATGATTCTAGTTTAACCAGAGTTGAAGTTCCATATTGTGGTTTCTCGAAGCATAGTCTTGGTTCTTATCGCAAAGAGTACACAATCTTGCTAAATTCGAACAGAACGGATGTACAAGTCTCTGGAGAAGAAGTCTCCTCACAACGGATGTACAAGTCTCTGGAGAAGAAGTCTCCTCACAACGGCTGTGCAAGCAGGGGAAGCGTTAAGGCACTTCTCGACTGTCTTAGCGGGACGCCTTTGCAAAATTGTTGAATGATGCCTATTTATTCTCAAACCACAAAACATAAAAGGTGGGAAAAGAAGAGGAACAAGTCAAGTGTTTGTTTAGGTATGTAAAAGTCTTTAAGTTGCTTGTTGCAGTAGTCTTAGTGTAAGTCAAAAGTATGGGCTATATGGAGAATACTCTAAGTCTAAGTAAGAAATAAGGCTATGCAGAGAAGATTGAGAGTGTTCTATTTTCTCGATATATATGTAATGCCAATGTTGTGTAATGTAAGCAAGTGAAAATCAGTTTCTCCACCACTTCACTCTAAGCTTTCAAACGTCCAAAACGTTTTTTCTTTTCTTTGAACAAGAACTAAAACATAACAAAAGAAATATGAAGAAAATCTGCAATTTTCTGCAGTTTACAACATGGTATCAGAGCTCCTGCTGATCCTTGGAGCCTTGCTGAACAAGACTGAAGAAGCTTGAACAAGTTTGAACAAGAAAAGAACAAGACCAAACCAGAAAATTAAAAGAACAAGAAGAAAAGAAGAAGAACAACACATGGCGTCATGCATATGTTAATTTTTTTAATAACTAAATCAACATACATTAATATAAATATAAAATAAAAAACGACAAATACATGTGATAGTTTTAAAATTTTGATTAGTTTCACCATGTAAAGTTTAAAATTATTATATGTGAAATAGGTAATATCAATATTTAAATATATGATTAATGTTAAAATTATATAACCACTAATGAATTGAAATAAATAAATCTTCTATCTTATTAAAAGAGAAGCACCAATATAAACTTACCTTTTTGATTAACACATATTTACATTGCAATACCACTGAAATAATAACTACTCCTATCTTTATGCTCTTTTTGTCTTTACAAAATTAAATGCACAGCAAATTCAGTTTATTCTATATTAATTAATATTTATCATCTATTACATTTTTGATAATCTAAGCGTACATTACTAAAACGAAGTATTTCAACCATTACAATTTTATTAAAATAGGCGTTCATTGATACAATAAAAACCAAGTTTAAATTTTAATTATTTATGTATTTGCTGACTCCAAACTTTATTTTGAATATAACATTTGATTTCAACATTCACCTACGTAACTTTCCTTATTCATCCATATTTGTTTATCGGCACTAACAAAACTATTTATCAAATTTATTATTATGTATATATATATATATATTAATATATTGAGTTATTTTAAATGTATTAAGTTCTACATATATATAAAACATTGTTGTAAAATAAAATACTATACAAACATTTCGATTTCCGTAATCTTAACTAACAATTCTATTAAAGAAACACACACCTCTAAATATTCTTCGAGATCATAACCAACGATTCTCATTGTTAACAAAATTTTGTTAATTATTTAGAATCCTAAATAACAATAGAATCAGTTTCGATCATGAAATATATTTGCAGTATCCTATATATAGGAAATTTGGACATAATCATCTTCTCTATTAAAAGAAGAGTACCATTTATATCTACTACAAAAAAGTCTTATTGAACCATTTCATTTATATGACATATTTTGTTATGTAAATTAATCAATCAAATATATATAATTGGAAGAATATTTTAATAATTAATAAGATATTAGTAATAAATTTGTTGAGAAAATATCTAACAAGATCTTACTAAGAAGTTTAAATATTTTTTATAAAATATGCATTATTTAATTTCGTGAATGATATATATAAATATCTATATTAATGTTAATTAAAAGTAAATTTTTTATATTTTATAATTTAGTTAGATTCTATATTATATTAAAATAAAATTATATGTGAAATGAATATAAAATATATTAAATTGGTAAAAGAAAAGATTTTATTTTTAAAATTTTATTTTATTCAATTAAATAAATAAAAACCACTCACTTTTAAAACATATTAGAGTTTTTAAATCATATAATATTTTATACAAAAAATGTTAACATATATTTTTGTAACTCACAACAAATACATTATATACAAAAATTATATGTGAATATTTTATTGTAAAACTTACAACAATATGTTATATAAAAATAATTAAATAAGATTATACAATATATAACAATATAGTGTAAATCATATATATTTGAAATGTTTTGCTATATTTTTATAAAATGAAAAAATACCCGCACAGATGTGCGGGTTCAAAATCTAGTTTGTTACTTAAACCATAATATTTCCATATATTGGTGACTAAACTAATTTCTACAATATAGCTCAACAATAAATTATATTCTATAACTAAATCATGTATGATTGAATAAGAATAACTTCCTATAAATTTACATAAACATAAAATAACTTGCACAAGCCACATAAACATTTAGGTAGTTGTGTACTAAATTTAGAATAAAATATTGTTTTAAAATTATATAGTTGTATTTTTCATATTTATTAGTAATAACTATAAAGTAAAAACCACATAAATAATCATTTATATAATATATAAATTAAAATATAGATTATTCCGTTAATTTCATATATATAAAAGTCTACTGAAATTGAATACAATAAATTTATATGATAAAAATATAAATGATACAATTGACTATTACAAAACAAACTATAATTATTTTAAAAATTATTATACTAATCAATTATATGGTATGTTTATAAAACTGAAAAAAACAGCCGTGTGGTGGTGTAGTCAATTAACTTTTTAAAAACAAATCGGTTTAAATTCGGTAGTAGCTTTGTTTGTTTTGAAATAACCAAATTCTAAACCGAACTAAACCATAACAAGTGAACTGAACTTAGTAACTTTAACTAAATTAAACTTAATTTTTTTAATAAATTCAAACATCTAACCGAAGCTAGAAATAGCAGTTAAAATTCCCAGATTTCTCAAAAATCAAAATAACCAAACCAATTTTTATCAGTTTCAGTTTAATACGATTTTGGACAAAACTAAAACCGAAGGAAGGCCTAAATGATGCACTTTGTTTTTTTTTGCTATTAAGTGAATCACTGCTGCCAATTCATATATGTTCTTGATTCAAAAAGAGTTTAAACAGGGCATCGTCAAGCATTATAGTAAAACACGAAATCAAAAGCAAAAAAAAAAAACACAGCACTAATAGAATAACACGGGTCTCGTCCTAAGCACGCTCTCCACGGATGCGCCTAGCCAATTGAATATCTTTGGGCATGATTGTGACTCTCTTGGCGTGAATGGCACAGAGATTCGTGTCTTCGAACAATCCCACCAAATACGCCTCTGCCGCTTCTTGAAGAGCCAACACTGCGTGGCTCTGGAATCTCAAATCCGTCTACAATACAATATTCACCCAATCAATACTAAAGAATTAATTAGAGACAAGATTCAAAGATTACCTTGAAATCCTGGGCGATTTCACGAACAAGACGCTGGAAAGGAAGCTTACGGATCAACAACTCAGTGCTCTTCTGATACTTACGAATCTCACTGATTCATCAACAACAAACAAACATAAACACACCGTTAACTAACGGAGACGGGACTTTTCCGTTAATTGATTGAAAAGGATGTAGAAATTACCGGAGAGCGACGGTTCCGGGACGGTAACGGTGAGGCTTCTTGACTCCTCCGGTAGTCGGCGCAGATTTCCTCGCAGCCTGTTTCATCAATCACAAACCCTAGATCCCCTTTTTCTTCGTAAAAAGAAATCGAAATCAAAGAAGAAACATACCTTTGTGGCGAGTTGCTTCCTCGGAGCTTTTCCTCCGGTGGATTTCCTAGCGGTCTGCTTCGTACGAGCCATGGCTTTTGAATCAGAGCTTTTGAATCGGAGATTGATCGAATGTTTGTTAGAGAGAGGAAAGTACGGAAGATTAGGGGTTTATATAGTGAGTGGGTGTTTTAAGGGAAGAGGAGGAGTGGGAGACGTGCGATGATTAGGATTGTGTTCGACGGTCCAGATTTTTACTGAGGAAAACCATTAAGCCTACGTGGCGATCCGCGTTGTTGATTCTTATTGGTTCGTTTCTTGTTTAAGATTTGATTCAGTGTATTAAGGCGGAGCTAATCTTAACTGCTTTATTTGTAAGTTGGTTTAGTCAAAATGTAAAGGGATTTGGTTTTCCCCGCCCGGTTCATTAACATTTATGGGATTTATGCAGAGTAAACATCTGGAGTACTAAAATGTGGAGTTATATTATATTTTATTTTTATTTTTTATATTTAATATCTTTGACAAATAAAATAAAATATTATCATTATATTATCTTTTTAAATAAGAAAGTAAAAAATAATGATAATAGTATTTACAGAAAAAATAAAAAAAAATTCACTTTGTCAGTAAAACACTTACCCTAATCCATTAGATAAATCCTAAACACTAAATTTTAAAAATATTAAATCATTAATCTTAAACCGACTAAATTTTGAAAATACTAAATCCTTAATCCTAAACCTTTGGATGAATTCTAAATCCTAGAGTTTATGGGTTATTCAATGATTTTAGAATTTAGTGTTTGAGATAGTGTTAAAAATATTTTAGAATTTTTTTTTCTTAGCAACTGTTATTATTTTGTATCCAAAGGGTCAGGATGCAGTTTTAGTTTTATTAAGATTTATTTTTTAGTGTTTTTGATTTATGATTTAGAATTTATCCGAGTATTTAGGATTTACCCAAAAAATTAACTTTAAGATTTGTGATAAGGTATAGTATTTGCCGATGGATTATAAATTTTTTTTTTTTAAATTGCTTTTTTGTAACTACCGCAATTTTGTTTACCCAAAAAGAATGATTGCATAAATTTAATCCTTTAACAAAAAAAAAATAGAGAGTCATGATCCACAGATTCTTATAGCCAAAACATTTTAATACAAAACATGAAAATTTTACATTTATCCATAAACCTACAATATGCTTAATTTAATATAACATGTACATTCATTTATTTATAATGTTATATTAAAATAATGAACAATAATATATTGTAAATATTATTATTTTTCTAACATTTTCTTATGTATAACACTGATCTCTACCTAGATCTTGATAAACAGAGCATTATCATAAACATCATATTCATTTTTATCCAATCTAATTCCTATTTGTTTAATGTTCTCATATTGAATTTTTAGTGGATCATTTGCATTTATAAAATTAAAAATATATCATAAATTTATTTTATTTAATAATATCATTAAATTATGTTTAAATTTAAAAATATAAAATTTATATTTTAAAAATAATTTACAATAAAATATTTTTTAAAATAATATTATTTCAGTTTTAAACTAAAATTTAATTTTTAAAAATAAAAAATAATGATGTGATTTTTTTTAACTTAAAAAGTGTTTTATGGTACTTTAAAAAATATATATCTATAAATTTGTTTTTGGATATAAACATAGTTTTATATTATTAAATAAATAGATATTTTTCTTAATTTTATATATTAATATATACTAGGAATATATTCAATATAAATACCGAAAACCAAAATTTTGGTTTGGGTATTAATCCTTGGGCTAGTATTTAAGTGGTGTATTGTTTTGGGATTGGATGAAAAGGTTTATATCATCTTTCTCTTGATGGTGACCTTGAATTGCATTTGTTCTAAAGAAAATAACTGGATTAGGTCTTCGTATCCATGTAACCATGAAACTTTCACGTAGCAAAAAAGTATAGAACATAACAAACCCTTTTACAAAACAAAAGTATAGAACATGAAACTCTACCAACTCTTTGGTCGAATTATTAAAAAACAAAAAAAAAGCTTTTTGGTCGAAAAAATATATTCAAAAAAGCAGAAACCAGAGTATTAACTGAGAAAACAGAACCGGGGATTTTGGAGTCATATTTTACACACAAAAAAAACTGTACATATCTGTAATGAAATGAGACATGTAATGATAGAATCTATAGTAGTCCTTTTCACTTTGGGTTCCCCCCTCTGCCTCTCTTCTTAGAAATCTTCTGGAGGACTCGTTTAGCTTCACAGTTTGGGAAGTTGGAAGGATGATAGTAATGTGGTGCAACATCCACTAGCCATTCACCTTGAATATAAGTGACAATCCGGATGAAATTCCGACTAGTCTGAACACATTCGTTGTACACTACCCACTCCGGTTTGTGATCCAGGCTACAAGATGGATGCAAGTTAACCATTTTGTCATCTTTGGCGGTCAAGTAGTGGCCACTCCCGTCTAAGTGAGCCACTTGCATGAAATAGCCAGCAAGCAGTGCCTTTCTTATGTTAATATAGTAGTCACGGCTGTTAAAATCAGTGCTGCACATCTTGAGATTAAACTTGGACATTATCCTCACCAACTGCTCTCTAACATTCTCAGCAGACTTCATTGCTTTATAGTTGATGAAATTCTCGTAGCACCAGTTCGAGTCTTCCTTGTTTTGTTTATAATCATGGTACACATTCAACAACGTGAGGTGATCTCCATCAATGTGTTCAAACCTAGCTTTAGCTTCATCTGCTGCTTTTTGAGCCTCTCCTCTAGGACGGATAAAGCAGTTTGGTACTGATAGCATTGCTGAAATCGATAGAATCTCGTTCGAGCAGTTGAATTTAGGACTCGCTATGAGCATCTTTGCCATTTGAGGATCCAAAGGAAACTCACTCATCATCTCACCTATCCTTGTCAAGTTACCTTCATCATCTAATGCTCCCAGATTAACCAAATCGTTCAAGGCCCGCCCCAGCGTCACAGGAGCAGGAGGGTCCATAAAGTCGAAGCTAACCAAGTTATCTATACCAAGTTTGTTCAAGGTGAGAACTGTGTTTGCAAGGTTTGATCTCAGTAGTTCAGGATACGTCTGCTTAATCAAATCATGGTTGAAACTCTTTTCGGTGTAAAGCCTGAAACATTTTCCAGGCCGTGTTCTACCGGCACGACCTGCTCTCTGCTGAGCACTTGCTTGTGATATTGGAGACACCAATAACGACTCAACACGAGTTTCAGGGTTGTATATTTTCTGCTTAGAGAAACCAGGATCAACCACGTAAACTATCCCATCGATGGTTAAAGAAGTCTCTGCAATGTTGGTGGATACAACAATCTTTCTCACATTCTCTGTAGGAGGATCAAATATCTTCTGCTGCATCGCAGTTGGAAGAGAAGAATACAATGGCACAACGTTGACTTGATCCCCAAGCTCACCGACGATTTTTCGACACGCATCTTCAATCTCCTCCTCGCCAGTTAAGAAAACAAGAACATCACCAGGCGGCTCAAACATGTGAATCTGAACAACGGTCCTAATAGCAGCGTCGAGATAGTCTCTCTCAGGTTCTGGCGTGTAGAAGATCTCTACAGGATGGAGCCTTCCAGGAACTTTCATGAGAGGCGCACCACTAAAATACTCAAGAAACTTTTCAGCTTCCAAAGTTGCACTCATCACAACTAGCTTAAGATCCGGTCTGTTTTTCAAGACTCGTTTCAGAATACCAAAGAGTAAATCTGTAGCTAAAGTCCTTTCATGAGCCTCATCGAGAACTATCGCTTTGTATCTCTGTAGAAGCGGATCAGTCATTGCTTCTCTCAGAAGCATACCATCGGTCAAGTACTTAAGCATTGTTTTGGAGCTAGTGCAGTCCTCGAAACGGACGGTGTAACCTACTTCTTCGCCGATAGCTACATCCATCTCTTCAGCAACACGACTGGCCACGGACATGGCTGCAACTCTACGAGGCTGCGTGCACCCGACCAGCCACTTGCTAGGGTTTCTTCCAGCATCTTCTTGCATGGCTTCCAAAACAAACTGTGGGATCTGTGTTGTTTTACCACTACCGGTTTCACCGACAAGTATCATTGTCTGGTTGCGCATCAAACATTGTAGAAACTCTTTTTTCTGTACCCACACAGGTAAGCTCCTTCGTTTCTCAAGAATCTCGTAATACCTCTGAGTATAAGCCTTTCCACTCCATTTATTCATCACCATGTTCTTAGGTTACGGGTTTGGTTTTGAGAAAAATAATTATACGTTCGTTTGTATATATATATAGTTTTTTCTTAGTCCGTTTCCTATTAATATTCTGAAAACATTAAAGTTTTCCTTTTCGTTTAAGCAAATATATCACTCGGTAGATTTCTCATTATTAATGGAAACTTTCCTTTTCACGATTATCTTATCGATAAGAATCTTTGCTTCTTTATACATATTCCTGAAGACAAACTTTTCCTTTTCTGATGATATGAAACATTTGTTTTATTTGGTATGATTTATTTAAATCACCACTTCTGCGACACCTACATGGCTTGATGAATGATATGCAACATATATAGGGCTCAAAACTGCATAAAGAAGATGGAATGTGGCAAAAATAAGGAACGTAGGAGCGTTCAATGGATGTTAACACGACCTGCCTAAGACTTTTTGTTTTTGATAACCCGGATACTCGGTGGGCCGAAGCCCTTACCGACTAACCTAAGACTTACTAAAGGATTTAATCATAGCATCATGTGTGTAATTATCTTAATATTGTATAATCAACAGTCTAGACGGTTTAGATCCGCTAAACATGCATCCTATGCTGTATGTCTTTCGTTTCTACTTGTAATTCCTCTTTATTTCCTTCTTAATATCATCAAGATATGTTTCGAATCTTGCTTTGATTCATTGCGTGCTCATTCTCCTAGCAAGTCTCCCATCTCTCTGTACTATTCATTTTGTTGGTCTTAAAGTGAACTCTTAAGTGTTTGGCTCTAACGTTATTACACCTGGAAGGCTGGAACAGAGTTCATGTGTGTTCTGTCTATCGCCTTGCAATAATATGAGCACATGAGACTATATGTTGGTTGGGAAAATATCAAGGTGTTTGTGATGATTATAGTTGTTGTTGTTGCAGATTCATGCATTGGATTGGGTTTGTGACTGGTTAGTTCCTCACTGTTTTACTGCAAAAGGGTTATTCTTTCAGACCCCAATAGTCTTTGTTTTTGTTCTTTAAATTCTTGTACAATTGCACTAGACAAAATCATAAACACACAAAATTGAATTCGTCTTACAGCACTCTTTTAGATAATTCAATATCTAAGAAATTAATACTCTATTAGTATTTATGAGTTACCCAGGTGGTTTAGTTTTAACTTTATGGAAGAAGTAAAGTACACGACATAATCATAACCGTCATAAACCTTCAATTATAATAAGGATCTTAATCTAATAATCATTTCACCTAAAGCCTCCTAGTTCTTCTATGTTCTCTCCATGTCTTCTTCTATCTAATTTGTCTCCCCATTATCTGCCTTATTATATACTTTAGAAAGATTAAACTCTTGTTTTGTTCTACGAATAATGCTTTTGAAGCAAAATTTTTGCTCACTGGTCCCAAATATTGTTGTGCGCTATAAAATGGTCAAAATATAAATGCAGGACCACAAAACTCTTTCTGAATGTAATCACTAATTACAGCTTTAATTATGCATTAATTATAACGCAGTATTAACCTACGACTAATCATACATCACTTCTTGGTCTTTTTCTTATATTCATTGAAATTTTTAAAGTGACGTTACTTTAAACATTTTTATGGGAACAGGACTAGATAACGTTATATTTCAGTAGTAACTATGACCGAGGCTGAACTCGAGACTTGATTTTGAAAATCATTAAAAAGATTTACAGCAAGTAGTAATTAGCAATACTCTTGAAACATCTAGTCTGTTAAAACACATTGAGAATTTGAAAACAATTAATACTGGATTAAAGCTCTGATAGTTAAGATGTGCCCTACATGTGTTCATAGAAAAAACACATCTCAAGAAATTCTTTGGTGGTTTAATCATTGACACACACACACACTCTTCTTCCTGGTTTTCCTCTTTGATAAATCATTACAAATTTACTTAGGAATTTTAAAAGAAAAATGAATGATTCTTTATTACATTATCAAAACATTAACGTACGAACTATAGCTTTCACCATTCATATACGCACAAGATCCTTCATCTTTAAACAACGGTATTTTATCCCATTATGAAGCTCTTCCACAAGTTCCGAAAGATTCTCATGAGGCTCATCGATCTCACTCTCCCTTCCTCCTCTCGCCGGAAGAAAAACTCCCACGAGGGAGAGAGGTTTGAGCCACCAAAGATATCGTGCAGTGGTTCGTACTATTCATCTCACGTACACTACAATGAAGCTATTGCAGACTGCATTGAGTTCTTCAACAAGTCTTCGGCTATGTCTTGTAATGTGGATCATGAAGCGGGTCATGTAGACGACCGTGCCTGTTTTTACGTTTAGTCTCAGCTCAAAAACTCACATGTTTCCCTTTTTTTGCTATAACATTTGATGATTCAAGGCTTTGCTTTTATTTTGTTTTATTTGAGTTATTGTGATTTTGAAACACTTACATATTATATGGTCATTTATAAGCTTTACACATGTTTCTGAATCTGATTTCTTAGAAATTTCTAGCATTTTCAGAGTTTTCAAACTCTCCTACTTAAAAAAAGAAATGGATGTAACTACTGTGAACATTTTTTACTACTCTAGGTCTTTACACTAGGTTATTGAAAGATTCATTATAGGGTTTGAAGATCAGTTTCTCGATTTTTCCAGTTGTAAGTTCATGATTATTAACCCATGGACATCTTCTATATTAAAAGAGAAGTACCATTTATATCTACTACAAAAAGTCATATTGGACTATTTCATTAATATAACATATTTGATTATTTATATTAATCAACCAAATATATATTACTTAAGAAATATTTTAATAATATATAACTATAAAGTTATCTTTAGTTTCATTTATAACAAAATCTGTTGAGAAAATATCTAACAANCATATATTTTTATAATTCACAACAAATACATTATCTAAAAAAATATATTTGATTTAAAAAATGACAACAATATATTATATAAAATAATTAAAATAATAAGATTCTATAGTTATACAATATAAAAATAAAATGTAAATGATATATCCGAAAGATTTTGTTATATTTTTATAAAATGAAAAATTACCCGCACGGATGTGCGAGTTCAAAATCTAGTTCTAAATTATAACGTCACAAGATTCTTTACTTACTTTTGGGGATAATATTCATATTTTATAATAGATAAATCAAAATGTATTCAAGAACCATATAGAAAGGTCATTCTCATACTGTCATACATATATGATCATAACCAAAACAAAACTCGCACAAGAAAAGAGAATGAAAATTAAACCAAGCTGTTTCATTGAAACATTTTTCTTTGAGAAAATACCTCCAATAAACAAAGGGATCAATTTTTTTCTTCTTCTCCTTTTCACTCATCGAAGGGTGTCTCACAAGAAACATATCCACCACCGAACCATTATCATTATTAGTACTTGTCGTTGGGTTTGCAAATTTCACATCTTTTCTCACTCATGGATCACAACCTTGGACTAGTTAGTTAGGCCATCATCAACATGAGGAACCAACACTTGAATTTGGTAATGAACATATCATCATCGACATTAGTTTTGGGCTCCTCAGGATCTATTCTCAGCGTCTGAAGCTCTTGTTTTGTCCTTTCAAGCTCTTTCTTGAGAGAAGACAAAGAGTTTCTCATTTATGCTTTCTTCTTTTGCTTTTTTGAGATTGTTTGTCTCTTCAAGCTATGTCTCACTCTTGGCTGGATCCTCTAATCACTCGCAATGCGTATTGGTTTCTTAATCTCCACTTCGTTAAAATACTCTTCTTTTCGATGTTTTGAGTACATTTTAGAGGTGGTTTCGGAAATTTATTCTATACATAAACGATTGTCCATGTCATAAATATGATTGTTTGTCATGTCAGGAAACAACTATAAATAGCTTGCTGCACAAGAAACTCAGTTTATGTATTTTAAACAAACGTAAAAGAAGAGGGTAAAATGTTAAAAACCCTAGCTGAATGATTCTTAGAACTCTGTTTTTTTTTTTCTCAACCAGCTGAATGATTCTTAGAAACTAATTAACAAAAAAGCAAAGCATCTGAACGACAGATCGTTGCAAAGTAATTGCAATTGTGTTCTTGTATCATCATAGAGAAGTGCAGAAATGATGGTCATAAGGATTGTTATGGTGATGACTCATAGACATTGCTTCTGCAGCAGTCATGAGACGATGTTGCTGTTGAGATAATTGCTGCTGTACCTTGGAGAGGAAGCAACTTGTAGTGGTTGAATACTAATCACGTTGAGGGAGAGATTTGGTTTAGTGTATTGGTTGGAGAATGGTGGCAAGGTGTTTCCATTTATTGGTGGTCTGTACTGATCAGCCCACAGACTTTTCTGAAGCTATTGCTGCTGGTTGTTTGCGTTGTAAACCGTTTGGAATCGACTGGCTATATAAGGAGACATTTGCTGCATCTACAAGATGATTAAGTACTTAATGCCTGGTTGATTAAGGGTGGTGTGAATTGAGGAGTTTTTAAGATTGAAACGAGCACCCTAATAGTGCTATAATTTATTGTCAGTCTTCTCTAATCTTTAGACATGAGTAATAAAGGCTAAAACTTTATGCGGAGTACTGCAAAGCCTTCCAAGTTTCAATTCTAAGTCAATTATACCACAATTACAATGATGACCAAAATGCCTCCGTAGCATAGTGGTATTGCGTTCGCTTCGTAAGCGAAAGGCCGCGAGTTCGATCCTCGCCGGGGGCTTGAGTTTACTTGTTTTTACTTATCTATCAGAAATCCAGCGGCGTTACTGCGGAACGCTTTCACATTTGTTTTTTTTTCAAGCAAGAGAATCACATTTGATCTTTTGTCCAATTAATTCGTACTTGGTAGAAATACAGCAACTTTACTATCTATCATTCCTATGACGCTTGTCATCTTTTTGTGTATTCATATGCTATGCTAATTCATCTATTTGCTATTGAATGGATTCTGTGGACCAAATGTTTAGAATAGGATCTCTGCGTACCAAATAAATATCGATACTAACAAAATATCGTCTGCAAATACCCGACCTAATGTTCGGTCTCCAGAAATAATATGACATCCCTAAAATACATACATGGTTTGTGCTGTAAATAAATACAAAATTTGAGAACATCTTTGTATGTATACATACATATATAATCCATGTTTGAATAAATAAGTTTTTTCAGAATTCAATGCAAAAATAGTTAAATAATATTTAATTAAAAAATTAAAAGCAACATCTAAAATATAATTTATCACTAGCCATTATATTTTTTTAACTAAATGTTAAAGATAACAAATTTATCTTAATATTTGTGGTTTAGTCAAAACAACCTATCTATTGAAACATAAGGAGGAGTATAATCAGTCAGAATGGTTGCATGTTATTTTCTTTTTTTGTAACTAAACATGTTATTTTTCGAAGTCAAAATCATTTCAAAACAGCCGATCGTTGAGGAAAAATCATTATAATCAATAATTCATTCATAAAGCAACATAACTTTATTTAGAAAATGAAACAATACAACGAGATTATTTCACCAAACGAATAAAAACCAAAAAAGCTTACAACAAATACACCATCAAAAGTTAAAAAAAAAACAAATAGACCATTAAATAATACAGTACCACACACAAAAGACGACGTACGGCTCTCATGAATTATTCCATCCACTTACATACATATACACCAACAAATACTAACAACGACATCGTATATTGAATTGAACATCCGCAGCAATTATTTGTGTCTTTTACTTAAGGGCACTTTCGGCGGCCATCGTGGGTGGTGAGGCTAGCGTAGCACTCGCACTTGTCGTGGTTCCCGTACGTGCTAGGTGGCACACAGTTGCACCTGGCGCAACAAGTCCCGCACGCTCTGTGACAAAGGTTCGGTCTACTTGAGAGTTTGCACCGTGCTATACAAGCACTTCCGCAATCTACGAAAATAAAACGTTATTATTTATTTATCGAATATAAACGGCATGTATGATAATCATGCTAATTGGACGTTAATATAAAGTTATATGTGTGTGTGTATAAAGGCGACATAATTACCAATTTTACTGCCGTAACCATCCTTTTTGTTTGAGTTTTCCTGAATGGATATTTGGAAGATGATAAATGTAAGAAGAATGTTATAAATAAATTAATAGATAGGGAGTATTTGTGATCAAAAACAACATACCACATCGGCCACGACGAGTTGGAGAAAAAGAAGAGATATGAGAAGAGAAGCAATAAGGGATTTTGAAATAGCCATAATCCTCAAAGGAGATGAGTATTAGATGAGAGCTAGCTCAATGAAGATTATAGTATGTGTTTTTGAGTTGTTGTGTCGAATGAGAACTTAGAGGTCTTCTATTTATAGTCCTTATTTCAATGGACAGCCGACCTCATACACTGGTCGAGAGTATTCTTTTGCTTTAATTATTTCTTACAGAATAGTTTTCGGGATATAAGAAATTGGTTTTCAGAATTTCAAAATTCGATAACGATATGATAGCAAGTAGCCTTCCTTTTTTTTTTATAAGAAAATGTAGCCTTACTTTACAACATTTACTGATGATCATGACAAAATCATAAAATGGAATTCGCAGTTTTCAGTTTTAAATCATTGATGGAAAATAACAATTAGCAGTTTATAACAATTTTGTCATTTTATAAAAATTAGTATATTTTCAATAACTATTTTTTTTGCTATAAATGAATTTAAGAGATGAAAAGATGCTTAATATAGCATATTAACTATGTTTAGGTGAATATAGGATTATTAATCATATGGATCTGAAGTGTGATACAGCCCAAGAGAAACAGACAATTGCAGAGCCCACAAATAAGACTGCAACGGTCATCTCTCAGATTCTTAATAAAAGACAAAAGCAGTCAAGGATGTGTACGAAGACAGCTCATGTGGTTGGGTTGAATAACAAATTCAGTTGCTTGACTGAGTGTGCTGTCACATGCTGACAAGGCTAGGAGATAANGAAGACAGCTCATGTGGTTGGGTTGAATAACAAATTCAGTTGCTTGACTGAGTGTGCTGTCACATGCTGACAAGGCTAGGAGATAAGATCAAGTTTGTGTATAAAAGATCATGACGTTGTATTGTTCTCTTTAAGCAAAATAATATCAGTAAAGTTAAAGTTTTGTTTCATCCTCTGTTTCGTTTTACTCTGTTCTTCATGGTATCAGAGCACCATGGAAGACAATGATCCTGTTTCGTCACCTACTCTGAGTATTACTCAGTGTGTCACGCTCAAGCTCTCTTCCACAAACTACCTTTTGTGGAAAACGCAGTTTGAGTCGTTCCTGTCAAGTCAAAACCTTCTTGGTCTCGTCAATGGAAGCTCACCACGACCTAACCCAACTGTAACTGTTCGTGAAGGAGATGAAGCCGTAGAACAAGCAAATCCAGAGTTCGTGAAATGGGTTCGCAAAGATCAACTTGTGATGGCTTGGCTCTTTGGCTCTCTCACAGAAGAAGCGTTGAGGTCTGTGTATGGACTTCACTCAGCTCAGGAGGTGTGGTTAAGTTTAGGAACGAAGTATAATCGCATCTCTGCCACTCGCAAACTTGATTTGCAAAGAAAGCTCCAAGGTATGTCTAAAGGGCAAAAGACTATGTCTGAGTATCTTAGTGAAGTTAAGAGTGTTAGTGATCAGCTAGACTCTATAGGATCTCCTCTGTCAGAACAAGAAATTATTTATCGAGCTCTAGGTGGTCTTGGTAAAGAGTATGAGTCTATCTGTACGTTTATTGAAAACTCAATGGATATGGTTGCTGACATGAGGTTTGAGGATGCTGTGTTCAAACTCACTACTTTTGAGGACAAGTTGAAGCAGTATGCTCAACCACCTGATGTGAATCCTCACTTGGCGTTCCACACTGGCAGAGGATCATCGAACAGAGGAAGAGGTGGTTATCATAACCGTGGAGGCTATAGAGGTAGAGGAAATCAGTCTTACTCCACCAGAGGAAGAGGTTTTCAACAACAGTTCACAGGTGGTGGTCCTAACAACAACAACAGACCAACGTGCCAAATCTGTGGTCGATATGGACATTCCGCTGCAAGATGTTACAACCGGTTTGATCAAGATTTCGAAACCCCAGATAACCTTCACAATGCTTTGTCAACTGTCAAGCTCTCGGATCAAGAACAGACTAGTGGAGGAGATTGGTATCCTGACTCCGCTGCTTCTGCACATATCACAAATGATGCTTCTCAGCTGTCATCTAGTGAGCCTTACCTCGGAAATGATCAAGTAATAGTAGGTAATGGAGATCATCTACCTATTACTCATGTCGGTTCTGTTGCTATTCATACACCACAAGGTACTTTACCTTTAGATGATGTGTTGGTCTGTCCTACTATTACGAAATCACTCTTGTCTGTGTCTAAACTCACTTCAGATTTTCCATGTGAGTTTACGTTTGACTCTGAAACTGTCTGTGTTAAGGACAAGGGAACAAGGCAGGTGATTGCTCGAGGAAGAAGGCATAAGGACCTCTATATGTTGAAGAATACGCAGTTTCAGGCTTATTACTCTTCGAGACAACAAGCCACAAGTGATGGGATTTGGCATCAAAGGCTGGGTCATCCCAACAAGGATATTCTTCAACTACTAGCCAAGAATAATGTTATTGTTTTTAATAAGAAAGACACACAATTGTTATGTGATGCTTGTCAACTAGGGAAGAGCTGTAAACTCCCTTTTCTTGCTTCAGAAACAGTTTCAAGTAAACCTTTAGAAAGAATACACTGTGATCTTTGGGGTCCAAGTCCTATTGTTTCTTCACAAGGCTTCAAATACTATGTCATCTTCGTTGATAATTTCTCAAGGTTTACCTGGTTCTACCCGCTTAAGCTCAAGTCGGATTTTCATGCTGTGTTTCTGCAATTTCAAAGGCTTGTTGAGAACCAGTATAGTTGCAGAATATTGCAGTTTCAGTCAGACGGAGGAGGTGAATTTGTTGGTAAAGGTTTTCTTGCTCATCTCGCCCAGTGTGGTATAAAGCATCTACTGTCATGTCCACACACACCCCAGCAAAATGGGATATCTGAAAGGAAGCACAGACACATAACGGAGCTTGGTCTGACCATGTTATATCACAGTAAAGTCCCTTCTAAGCTATGGGTTGAGGCATTCTTCACAGCTTCATTTCTTGGTAATCTGCTTCCATCGTCAGTGTTACCTGATCATCAGAGTCCTTATGAGAGACTAAATGGAGTTGCTCCAGTGTATACGGCACTAAGAGTATTTGGCTGCAAATGCTTTCCGTACTTGAGACCGTATATGCAGAATAAGCTGGATCCAAAATCTTTACCCTGTATTTTTCTTGGTTACAATGAGAAATATAAAGGGTATAGATGTCTCTATCCACCAACTGGGAAGGTATTCATTAGTCGACATGTCTTGTTTGATGAAAGCTCCTTTCCATATGGTGACTTGTACAAGAAGTATCAAGACAATCAGTTAACAACTCTTCGAAGTGCCTGGTTGAAATCTGTTGTTGTGACGACAAAAGAAGACTACGAAGCTGCAGACAAGTCGTCTCAGTCTAGTGAAGAAGAGTTCCCTTCCTTGCAGAGAGCACAACCAAATAATGCTCCTGTATTAACTCAACCTCCACCATCCCCGCATGCTCAGATTGAACAACAGCCTACGCCTGACAATGTGAGTCCAGGTGAATCTGATGCTGACGAACAACATGTGGAGCAACAAGAAGTTCCTGTTCTACCATCACACTCAATGACCACAAGGTCGAGATCAGGTATCAGCAAACCTAACCCAAAGTATGCTCTCTTTACGGTTAAATCAACCTATCATGAGCCAAGAAGTATAAAAGATGCTTTGAAAGATAAGGGGTGGACTGAAGCGATGAACCTGGAGATGAACAATATGTTAGAAACAGGAACATTCGAACTTGTGGCTCCTGAAGAGAACCAAAATCCTTTGGGTTGTCGCTGGGTACACAAAGTGAAGCTCAATGCTGATGGGACTCTTCAAAAGCTACGGTCAAGGTTGGTAGCTAAAGGTAATGAACAGGAGGAAGGTATTGACTACTTAGAGACCTTCAGTCATGTAGTTCGTACTGCTACTATAAGGACTGTTCTACATGTAGCTGTGACAAAGGGTTGGAAGATACGCCAGTTAGATGTTCAAAACGCTTTTCTACACGGAGACCTAAAGGAAAGTGTCTACATGAGTCAGCCTCCGGGGTATGTGGATCCACATAGACCTGACTATGTTTGGAAGCTTAAGAAGGCCATTTACGGTTTAAAACAAGCGCCGCGAGCTTGGTTCGATAAGTTCAGCTCGTTTCTTCTTGACTATGGCTTTCACTGCAACATACCAGATCCATCTCTCTTTATCTATCACCAAGGTACGGATGTCATATACCTGCTCCTGTACGTTGATGATATGATTGTGACTGGTAATAACAATGGTTTGATAGAGACGCTTCTTCACAGTCTGAATGAGATGTTTAGAATGAAAGACATGGGAGATGTCCATTATTTCTTGGGTATACAGGTTCATCATAAGGATGGAGATTTATTTATGAACCAGTCAAAGTACGCGCAAGATCTTCTTGTTGTCGCAGGAATGGCTGAATGTGCCCCAATGCCATCCCCTCTGCCTGTGAAACTTGATAATTTGGTGGGACAAGATGAAGTGTTCTCGGATCCGTCTTATTTCAGAAGTTTGGCGGGAAAACTACAATATTTGACACTCACAAGACCTGATCTCCAACACTCTGTCAACTATATCTGCCAAAAGATGCACACACCAAGTGTCTCCGACTACAATCTCCTGAAACGTATTCTCAGGTATGTAAAGGGAACCACTGAAATGGGAATTACGATTAAGAAGTCAAGTGATTCAACTCTGGTATGTTATAGTGACTCTGATTGGGCTGGATGCAAAACTACAAGGAGATCCACGGGTGGTTTTTGTACTTTTCTTGGTTCAACAATCATATCTTGGTCTTCAAAGAGACATGATACGGTGTCAAAGTCTTCAACGGAAGCAGAGTATCGGACAATGTCACTAGCAGCCTCTGAAGTTGCTTGGATGCAGAATCTTCTGCGTGTAATGGGTCTACAACAGAGGGTCACTCCTCTCCTCCTCTGTGATAATCTCTCAGCAGTGGGCTTGTCAGCGAATCCTCGGTTCCATAAGAGATCAAAACACTTTGACATTGACTTTCATTATGTCAGGGAGCGTGTTGCCATGAAGATGCTTGAAGTGAAACACATTCCTGCAGCTCTGCAAATCGCAGACGTGTTCACCAAGTCCCTATCTCATGATGCGTTTGACAGGTTACGGAACAAACTGAGTGTTTCTCTTCTCTCCACACTAAGTTTGAAGGGGAGTATTAATCATATGGGCCTGAAGTGTGATACAGCCCAAGAGAAACAGACAATTGCAGAGCCCACAAATAAGACTGCAACGGTCATCTCTCAGATTCTTAATAAAAGACAAAAGCAGTCAAGGATGTGTACGAAGACAGCTCATGTGGTTGGGTTGAATAACAAATTCAGTTGCTTGACTGAGTGTGCTGTCACATGCTGACAAGGCTAGGAGATAANGAAGACAGCTCATGTGGTTGGGTTGAATAACAAATTCAGTTGCTTGACTGAGTGTGCTGTCACATGCTGACAAGGCTAGGAGATAAGATCAAGTTTGTGTATAAAAGATCATGACGTTGTATTGTTCTCTTTAAGCAAAATAATATCAGTAAAGTTAAAGTTTTGTTTCATCCTCTGTTTCGTTTTACTCTGTTCTTCAAGGATTTCCTTTTAGAAGTTGTGCGTACGCGGAGAAGATAATATATTGGTGGGAAATAGGTTGTATTATTTGTGGTCTCTTGATTTATAAATGATTTCGATATATATGTTTTCGCCACCATATTTTATCTACAAATTATTTTAACTTCTTGTTTTTATTTTAATCTTTTTTTTTGTCAAACAATCTTAATCTTCCTTTAGAGATCAAATAACTAAAGCCAAAGTATATATTACTGCAGCAGCGTAGAGTTCTATCGTTTACGCATACCTAAACTGCTAACCGGTAAACTCTATTATTGGCTTCGCTTGGGTTTGGTATTTCTGATTCTACCAGAATTATTGGCTTCAGTGATAACTATATATTTTATTTGGGAGATTTGACTTTTGACTTAAGGAGTGAGCTTGTTTTTATAAATTCTTGATGAATAGACGAAACTACTCGTTCCGGATGTGAAGTATATTTGTTCTTTCTACGTATGATGTATGCATGTGATCTGTAAGTTTAACAAGTTATTTTTGAATAAAATTAAACAAGTTTTTAGTTGAATGTAGTTTTACATTTGTACGAAAAATAACAAAGGGTAATTTCCTAAACTGTAGTTTAAATATCCAGATTGCCAAGAGGTTAAAGCCTGGTAGCGAAATTAGTAAATAATTTTATGCTACCATCAAACGTATACAAAAAGAAACAAAATTAAGAAAAAAAAGAGTAAAAGAAGTGGGTTCTTTTTCCAGCTATGAAGTGTTGTCATTCACTTAACTTAACAGCTGTAATATATTCTAGTTTTAGGCTATATATATATATATATATGTATACTTGTTTACCATAAAAAATAGTTGCCAACCTGTGATCTCTTTGGTGATCTTTTGTTTCCATTCCAATCTATTTATAATAGATACTAGGGCTTAATGTTTCAAAAAAAAAAAGATACTAGGGCTTAATTTATTAAGGTTAGGAATTAGTGAAATTATATTTTTGTAATATGGTTTGTTAAATTAGAATTTGTAGTCTAGTAGCTTATGACTTTTTGTTAATATTGTTATTTTGTAATGGTTCGTTCGATCAAATGGCCTTAGAGAAACATGCGCTTTAATTTCAGATATTATATTTTTGTAGCAAAGGAGTCATGGTTCTTTTAAGCAAAATGGCTTTGGTCCATACTTTTTCTGGTTTTCTGTATAATCATTTTTTAAACGACAATCTGTATTTCTGTACGATACCAAACACGGATGGAATCATCCAGTGACCACATATGACAGAACTATACTTCAATTTGCCTTTTGATAATTTCAAGGAAATAAGAAACTAAAGACTACATTTGTCTCGTCCTTGCTTTGTCATTACTCTTAATTTTTGCTAATAGAAATACTGTAACATACAGGTAATATGTTATGTAAAATATTTGGCTATATGAGGTCAATAAAATATGTCTGGTTACACGAGTTCTACCTCAACGTCGAGAAAGATTATTGTAAATCAGGAACTTTTTAACCCAGTAACGGTATTAAAAATAGGGATATCTGGTGGGAACATAATTAGGTGTTAGTTGATATGATTACAGAGTTTCCAGCTGTTGCCGCCGCCAAAAGAGTCGAAATCGAATAAACAAAACAAACTTGGATAAGCTCAAACTTGAGAACTTTTCTTTAAAAATATAATTCTACTTGCAAATAAAAGTTTAAATAGGTGAAGAAACAAACAATAGCATCAATTGTCATCACCCAAAAAGCAATAATTTGTGAAAAAATAAATATTCATCCCTCAAGTCTTAGATAGTAATTTTCACAAAAAAAAAAAAAAAAAAAAGTCTTAGATAGTAACTAATTCGTCTGAAAAATAAACCGAGAATATTTATATGGAATAAGATGGTGATATGCAATACCAGTTCACATCCAAATAATAGTTTCTTATTTCTTCAAGTTAATTTTCCTTCTTTGAATTTGTGATAAAAGTCTATTTAAATAAAGTATGGATCACTAAAAATACAGTAGTTTATTGGTAATTTAAAGGAGTCAGATTTTTTTGGACGATTATGTGCTGATAGTCCATAAAAAAATATTATATTTGCAACTCACATAAATTTATGATTTGAATATTTTATTAAAGCAGATATAAATATTTGATTGATATATATATGAATAATAAAAAATTATTACTGGAAAACTAAATTGGATAAATTTCTACAAAATAAATAGAAAACACTGATAGGATTTTCTATAAGTTAACCATGTTTTATTTTGTTACACTTAGTAATTATATACAGTGAAATGATTAAAAAAAAATCGAGAAATATTTATTCATGTTGATAAATGGTAAATTTTATTTGTAAAATGTGAAAACGTGAACTATAAATCTCAACGCCAATGTTCATTCTGGGTATATAAATATTTATTATTCCTCTACTACTAAAGTTTTTGTTTTTCTTCTCTCAAACAAACACCAAAACATAGTTCTGTTATAAGTACCATCTAAATTTTATATGAAGCTAAACATATAGCAAGAGATTAAAAGCTGAAAGGTACTAAATTGATATAGTCAAAAATCTCTAAATCAACTCCCTTTTTCCTTTACAGTCACAAGAAAGAACCATAAAACTTAGGTAAAGAGTAGTTTACAGAAGACTAAAACGATGGCCTGAAAAAAACGTAGAGCCAAACTCCATACCATAAGCTCAAAAGCCACACCGTGTCTTCTTCTCTCTTCTTCAACAGATTTTACACAACACCTGACGGCAGACGAAGAACGAGCTGGCCACCCATCAAACTGTCCCAACACCAAAAACATAAACAATCTCAGACCATTCATCAATGTCATTATTAAGCTTCATAGATTACAAATTTTGATTTTACCTCTTGACATAGTAGTAGCAGAAGTCAGCGAGAATGAAAGTTTGTATGACTTCAGAGACGAGGACCATTATAGGCCAAAACCCATATCCCAAAGCAGTCAGTAACCGCCCTCGAGTGTCCAAAACCTACACCACCATTAGATAATTACATACTACATAGTTATTCACATATAGCTTCATAGTTTAGACTTAGAGAGCCAAGGAAACAATGAAAAAAAAACCTGAAGAACCCAATGTGCACAGCTCAAGAACCTAGCTATCCCCAAGGCAAATACATAATGTGCTGTGAAAGGCTCCACGATCTGAGACAAGACATGCGTTACTAGTTTAAATTTGTATAAGGTCTAAGTTTCAAGCTTTTGTAAAGCACCTTGGTGTTTTGCATGACTCTAAGTTGAGGAAGGACTGAAACAGCTTCAAGGTAAACACAAAAGGCCCAAGAGATCTTATTGATTATATGATGATGTGTTGATGGGTGAATCAAAACTGAAAGTACAGCACACGGTACAACCTGCAGACATATTTAGAAAAGTTGAGAAATCTCCAACAAGAAACTCAAGAAAGAAACCCAAAAGACAACAACTTACGACATAGTAGATTGCAAAATTGTCTTTATCTTCCATGTAACTAGCTTTAAGCTTGAAACGGATCATATAAATAACCCAAAGGGTAGTCACCAAAGTAGCCGAATCAAGCAACGTGTGGATATCAAACTCCATCACAAAGCTACAATACAATCTCACGGCTAAAAACAGAGCTGTTAACTCTTGAGACTTCAATGACAATCCTGTCATAAACAGATATCAATCTCAAATCAAATCAATTCTCAACATCTAAACCCTTTTAAGAAGAATCAATTACCAGCGCAAGTCTTCTCCTTTGTGAGTTTATAGATGAGAACGGAGATTCCAAGGGCGTGGACAGCTTCGGCGGCGACGAAAAGGTTGTCGTGGTCGTGAACAATCATTCTTAGGAGAACGAGAGCAGTCATGGCGGAGACAACACCGAGAAAAGCTTTGATCTTTGGTGGTTGCCGGCGAACCCATGTCGTCACGGCGTGGATTGGCTTCTGCGCCGCCTTCATCTTTTTGATTTCGCTCGTAGCTTTCTTACCGAAAGATAGGAGACAGTAAAGTCTAGACCTTTCGAAGCTCTCTTGGTACGATGTGTTATAACGGAACCAGATCTGTCTCTTTTGTGTGAGAATTGATTGTTGGGACGATTGGGTGATCACTGCACTAACTACAGATTACTCTCTTTTTTTGTTTTTTATTACAAAACATAAAAAAGAAGACACTTTTTGATGGTGACACGTGGAGGGTTAGTTTTGTTTTAGGTGGAAGTTAGATAGTGGTTAGCCAACGACTGTAAGAACCGGTTTGGTTTCAAGGCAAATTCCCTAATCACAAAACCATGATCGGTATATTAAACAAAAAAATTGGTTATCGGTTTGTCAGTAGTCGGTTAGTCCAGTTTTGTAATTTTTTTAAAAATTCTAACCAATATTACCGAATGAATTAACCAAATCTCAAACAATCAAACTGAAATTAACATTAAAAACATTTATGTTTTAACTGAGATTAAACCAAAATTAGAAAATATGATTAGAATCGGTAGAATTTTCATTATTGAACTAAGAACCATATCAAATTGAACTAAATCAAATTAAATTAAAACAAATTTCCTTCGGTTCATTCGGCATAATAACCAAACTAGAAAAACAAAAAACTCAAACCAAACTAACCGGTTTGAACCGAACCGGCAAGCCTAATACACTTCATCATATGTAATGTAGGTGAAACAAAACTGAAGAGCTATGATCAAAAGATCTTACAAGTAAAACTCAAAGAGACAAAAGACCATCAGTGTAATAACAACACTGTAACTCATGGTTTAACTCCCCATAGTCCTTTACTTCGTTCCTGCTCGTGTAATAAATCTTCACCCGACTCGGATACAGAACCTGAAAAAACACACAATCACATTCTATATCATGAATCCTGATCGGAAACGATCTATAGTAACGGGTCAACGTTTCTTTGAGGTCAATACGATGCGTTTTAACCCAAGCAGATCCGTTGGAGCCATTCATCATCCAAATCTCCATGTTTGGTTCAAGAGATTTGTAGTCCACAGCCCAAAGCTTCCCTCTGATGCCACATAAGCTAAAGTCGTGATTAGGGTTGTCTTCAAAACATGGTGGTGGAGGCAGAACAGAGAACTTCTCATGTTCTAGAGAGAAAGAGACAATCTTTGTTGGAGATTCTTTTGTTGTCCAGTAAAGGAGCCCATCAGCGTGAACTGGAGGGTATGGTTGTAGAAGGTAATGACATTCTGTTTCTTGTGATGTCCATGGAGATATCTCGAGATGATGCTTGTAGTTTCTTTCCTTGATGGACAAGGTAAGTGTCTCGAATTTGCAGATTGGGTTATAAGGAAGGAAGAATCTGATGATTTTGTATTGTGACGTGGACGATACGAAGCCGAAGGAGGTAAGGGTAGATGAGGATGAGGAAGCAGATGGTGATTGAGATATTTCTAGGGTTTTTTGCTTAATAGGGTCAAAGAGAAAGTGTTCCTTGGCAGTCACGAAACATATTAACTGATGGTTAGAAGACAAGACTTTAACTTTGTCTCCAAGGAAGCTTTTTGTGATGGGTTTTTGTGTTTGCTCAAGGTAGCGTTCTTCAAAGAGAGATGTCCGAAAAGCGGTGAGAGCGGTTTGGTTAGGTTTCGTGTAGCTAAGGAGTTTGAGCTGTACGTCTAGGGATTTGTTGGAAACGGTGAAGGCGGTGAGGATGAATGATGAGTTTAGGGCATGACTGTGGTGGAGACGGAGGAAATAGGGTTCAGAGATTATAGAGTTGAATTGCTTTGAAACTAATCGGAGTTTTGGTAATATTTTGCTTGGAAGGAAAGAGAGGATTCTGATGATGACTTCCAGAGGAAGAAAAGAAGAAGAAAACATTTTTTCCAAGTGACCGGAGAAAACATGTGGGTTATATAAATGTATATGCGTGTTCCCCAAATCTTCAGGTTAGGGAAGTTTACGAGTAAGAAAGTAAGTATTCCAATTCAGTTTCTATTTTATTCCCAAAATTTATATTGATAGAATCTTCTAAACTAGGAATAAACTAATGTGCACTCTCTAACGAAAAATGTACCAGGAACCATTGTTCCTTACTCTATGTATCTGACTCTATTCTATGTATCTCAATCGAGTCTTGATAGAGAGACCTAATGATAAAATAGTAAAAGTATATTATAAAATCATCAGTATGATGCAGAAGCTAATTTTTCTTATTTATATATTTACTACCGTGATTAATAATTGCAGTGGTTCAGCCTAAATTTTTATTTTAAATTTAGTAAAATATATATGTAAAACTATATAACTAATTTATAGAATGTTGTGTGTATCAATGTTATTGATTATCAAACCGAATCAACAACGGTTTTGGCAAATTTGACTGGTCTCGGCTGTTTAACTCAATTCAGTTTTGAACACTATCCAAAATCAGATCAAGGAACTAGTCCAGTCCTGTTTTCAAAACACTAGGTGGAGAAATTATTATTACAAGGCAACACAATGAGAAGGAAAGAACAAACCACATTGCAAATACAATATGTAACAAAGAGTACACATGGCTTGCATTAGTTTCGCCAAGTGCATAGCTACCCTTTAAGTTTTCTCCCACCGAAATATAAAATTGAACCAGGGATGAATTTTTTGTTTAATCTTCTTGACATAGTCAAATTAACTTATCTAAGAAAGAAAGAAATGTCGAATGCACTAGCCGCCAATGCGACAATGGAGCACTTACTCGAAACCGAACCAGTCTCCAAGGTTACTTAGGTAGAGAGACAGCCTGAGAGAGGAAGACACGTGGTGGAGAAAATCAGTAATGAATGGGTCAATATCTTATCTTCTCTATTAATTAAGCTGCTTGCGTTTTCATGTTTTCTACTAGAAGATAATAAGTGGGCTCAAATTTATGGGGTTAAAATACATTGTACTTTGAAAAGTAAAATACTAACCCACTATCACTTCATTATAAATAGAGGTTGATCTTTGGTGTATTTCCTCACACTAAACATAAAACATACATATATTGAAACAAAAAGGTCATATAGTCATGGCTAAGTCTGCTACCTTCATCACCCTTCTCTTTGCTGCTCTTGTTTTCTTTGCGGCTTTTGGTGAGTTATGAATCGTAATGCATGGAAAATGATGACAGTATTAGTCACAAATTTGTTAATATTAGTTACTAACTATCGTTGGGATATATGCAGAAGCACCAACATTAATGGTGGAAGCTAAGTTGTGCGAGAGGCCAAGTGGGACATGGTCAGGAGTTTGTGGAAACAATAACGCGTGTAAGAATCAGTGCATTCGACTTGAGAAAGCACGACATGGATCCTGCAACTATGTCTTCCCTGCTCACAAGTGCATCTGCTACTTCCCATGTTAATTAATATACCAAACATATTTGGAGTTATAGTACTGTGTGCATTCTCATAAAATAAATCTCGTGTCATTCTATGGGTGACCTTATTATGACATGTACCATATATGTTTATGTCGGTTTGCTATAATAATATAATCTTCTTGTTTCTTGTTGTTCATGTTTGTCTTCAACATGGGCATAAGGAGTGAGAAGTTTTCATCAATAAGAACCACAGACGATTAAGAGCATATCCACTCTGGAGGTGCATAATATCATCGTTAGTATAATCAAAAATTAGAATATTAGCTAATAAAGTCTAGTATATAAAGAAAAAAATAGTGGCGGTTCTGATATATGAATATTGCTAATGACTTCGAAGAGACTAAGACTAAGACTAAGACCAAGTCTTCTCTTTAACATATTATTCCGTCATTTCACAGGGTAGTTCATAGTATGTTAAAGTACCGAATACATAATATGTTACAGGGAAAAATAACTCAACATTTAAAAGTCTACCACAAATTTTACATTCAGGTTCTTTAATCAGAAACAAGTTTATGTTCAGGTGTGTAGGTACACATATGTAACATTATTTCCAATTTAATAGGAAAGTGGCTACCTAGATTATTCAACTCTTGAAAGCGAAACAAGAAGTGGTTGTATTCACTATGAATATTGGTCAATGATATTTAATAACGAATATATATATATATATATAAACTATCAAGTGACCGGTTAAATGAACAACAAATTGTCTTGAAGAAAGTCTTGGAGTTTGCTGTATACAAGGGTTGTGTGACTTTCATTTAGAGTTTATGTCTTTTGTTATATGTGCAAGCAAGACTGTGAGTTTATAAATGGTGGAGATCTATAGTATGTCTTTAGATTCTCATGTTAGGGCTCTTAATTCTAGTTGATTGGTGGATAAGTATAGCAGTTTGGTGCATGGAAATATAAGCAAATGAAGATAAAAATTATACAAAAAGTTATAGGTATAACATGATATCTTCAAAAGCCTTTTTCCCACCGTTAGCCAAGATAAATGGACCGACCGAACCACATACTAGATCCGTATTATACTTTCAAGACCGGATTCAACTTCAAGTCTTCAAAGACTTGGCTGTACCCAAAAATCCGAACGACGGAACACACGATGAAAGTAGAGAATAATTTGTTTTGTATAGAGAAAATCGCATACTTTATTAGCATTCGTGAAAAGGTTCGGAGAAGAGTATACACTCTATGACCAGGCTAACCCATATGTTCCTATATTTGTAGGAGGTAACCCAAGTTTGTGGGTATAATCTTCACAACTCCGATTCCAGTCATGCTTGGTTTAGAGTTAACCAATTTTGTGTCTGCCTCAGGTTGCTACTTGTCCGTAGCTAGTGCTGGTGCTCTCTTAGTAAGGCAACGAAGCAAACTGCTGGTACGTGGCTTTTATTATCAAGGTATGATAATGTAGGAGTAGCATAGTGGGCCTAAATTCGCTATTGGGGCACCAATGAGCACACACTTTGTTGTTTTTTCCATTATGAATTGTTGGTGAAGAGCAGGTGAAAACGTAGAGCAAACTCTAACCCCCTTTTATAGTTTCACTAGGGGAAGCCCGTGCTACACACAGGATGTCATTAATTGTTTGTATAAAATATAAAAATATTGTACACATTTTTTGTATGTTCATTTGGTTGGAGATGTTTTAATCCTAATCGATTATTCTTTGTATGGTCAATTCGCTCCTTATAACGTCTAGAGTTATCTGTGTGTTAGGTTAGGATTTGGAAGCAATGATTGTATGATGTGTGTTTTTTAAAAATGTTATGCGGGAGAAGGTCATTGGCAAAGAACAACTGGAGGAGTTGGTTTGTTGCTAGTGAGTTTGTAGAATTCTGATTGTACAACGTACTATTTAAATGTTTAATCTACTTTTAGCTAAAAATAGTACTAACGTTCATAATTTTTACAACAATTTTAAGGATTCATTTTAGTAATTTTAACTTGTCTGTTATT